GGTCCGAAAAGGGTCATGGCACTACATACACGTGGTATCAGTGCAATTGAGTCAACGAACGAGATTGAGTTTTTGAAGATAAACAGAACATTGGGCAAAGGGATGAGCGAACATAACATAGCAAACTAGAGGGTTATGTAATGAGCGAAATGTAGGGTGCGTGGTGGGCCTGGCGCCGAGGTGGACTATGTTGAGGCGGAGGACCGGAGCGCGGGTTACTAACCAAGCCGTAAGGTTGGATCGCGATGTGAATAGTGGCGGGAATAGTGGTCAGGGCGAGTGTCGCGAGTGGTAACGGTTTACAGCTGGATACTGTTGGCGCGAACAATCGTGTACGTGATAAGTAGGGTCATGAAGTAAGGAAAACGAGTTCTCCTTACATCAGGCAGTCGTTTAGCAATTTTGCTACTTCAGTTAGTGAAATTATTGTAGAGCATATGCACAAAACCGCCCACAACCAACCTATATTTCTCCCCCTTGTTCGTTTTTTTGCTCCAGCTTGCAAAATTTCCTGAGATTACCATATTCTTTTTGTCCATGTGAGCAACAGTCTTTGCAACTCGAGTGTGAAATTAAGAAAAAAAACTTATTGTTCTGGGTAATTTCACACCTTCTCATTTGTTAAGAGTGCAATTGGGTGAGCGAACGGAGATTGCATTATCAAAATAAAATATTACATTGAGTGAAGGGGTGCACGAACATCATATAACAAACTAGCGTAGTAACGGTAATGAGCGAAATCTGGGGTGCGCAACGGGCCTGGGACCGAGGTGGGGAATTATTGGCGCAGAGGACTAGAGTGTTGGTTACTAACCTGAGCCGTAAGTTCGGGTCGTGGTGTGAACAGTGGCGGGAACAGTGGTGGAGGCGAGTGTCATGAGTGGTCACGGTTTGATGTTAGTAACTGTTGGTAGGAACAGTCGTTTATGCAGTAAGTAGGGGCGCGAAGTAAGGAAAATGTACGCGAACTAATATTTCCAAGTCACCGAGTTGTCGCACGTGGCTCGAATTAACTTTTCCATGGTTTGATTGGCCTGCTCCATTTGACCGTCAGTTTCGGGGTGGTACGATGAGCTGAACAACAGTTTTGTGACAAACTGCTGCCGCATGTTTCGCTAGAAGTTTCTGGTGAATTCCGTGTCGCAGTCACCGATGATTGCTGCAAGAATTCCGTGCAGTCGAATGACGGTGGCAATGAAGAGTCGGGCTATTTCTATGGCTGATATTGACTTCTTACAAGCTGCAAAAAGGGCCATTTTCGTTAGTCGGTCGACGACGAAAAGAATCGCATCGTTCCCACTGGCCGCAGCTAGTATCCCATTGACGAAGTCCACCGTCACCTGCTGCCAAGTACGCTCTAAGGGTGGTATCGGATGCCAATGTCCCGCCGATTGCTGTCATAACGACTTCATGAGCTGGCACATGGAACATTATGTCACGTGTCTCTGTACATCGGTCCATATCGTGCCAGCAATAACACCGGTGTAGCTGCTGTCGTGTCTTCTCGACCCCGAAATGTCCAGAGGTGATCCGTCATGTGCCTCAAGTAATAGTAATTTTTGCAGCAGAGTGTAGTCCGAAAACCAGATGCCCATCATGCCATTGTAGTTTCTTCCTGTGGATAAAAAATCTATCTTGTAACCAAGGGTTAATAGGCCCAAGAGGGGTGGGCTGGTTATGGTGAGTAGTTAGATAGGCAATCCGGCGGGTCAGTGCGTCGACGATGTTCGAGGTGCATATTTTAAAAGTGACCGTATAATGAAGGTTCGAATTGAGAAAGTCAAGCCAGCGGATCTGTCGTGGGTTGAGGTTCCGCTGTGCGCAAAGATACTGTAGTGATATTAAGTCTGTGCATACTGTATCGAGTAATTTTTCTCGGGCGGGTGCAATTTTTGTGACTCGTATACGATGGGCTGTAGGCCGTTGGTAAAATCCAGTAGTACGGCTCCGACGTCGATATCGCTAGCATAAGTGACAACTTCAAATGGGCGTTGTGGATCGGCTATGTGTAGCATGGGTGGTGAACAGAAAACAATTTTTATGGCAGAGAAGATTGCATGCTCTTTTTCTTCCCCATATAAAAGAAACCCCGTTGCATGGTGGTCGAAGCATATTTGAAACCCACCGTTTGTTTTCGGAGATTGAAGTTTTTGCTAGTTGGTAATCTATCTGCTTCCTTAGTTCGTCTAGTTTGAGCTTTGTCAGTCGGAATTGTCGCTGTACGGTTGGCTGTGCCCCTGTCAGATGTATATATCAATGGCATTTTAAAGGATGAGGTGTTCATGATGCAGCCGCCTGGGTATGAGGATGGTACGGGCAGGGTGTTCAAGCTTAAAAAGGCCATCTACTGCTTGAAGCAGGTGCCACACTGCTGGTACCAGAACTTGGCAGCTGTTTTAGAGGAGATGGGATTCAGGACCAGCAGCTGTGATGAGAGCCATTTTCTCGGGAAGAAACTGGTGCACTTTCTGGTCTACACGGACGACATGGTTCTTTTCAGGAGCAGCATGAAAGAGATCCAGAAGGTGCAGCAGCAGCTGATGGAGAACTTCAAGTGCAAGAAGTTCATCAAGGAGCTGGGGGAGAAGTATGGGATTGAGAATGAGCGCAAGCAGAATTTAAGCTCGTGAAGACTGCAGAGGATGAAGCCGAAGAGCAGCAGCAATTTCAGTCCTTGGTGGGCAGCCTCTTGTATGCAGCGGTTCACACGATGGCCGATATCTCTTTCTCGGTTGGGCAGCTGGCTAGGGTGGTGCAGAATCCATCAGAGAAGCAGGTGGATGCAGCTGAGCGCGTGGTGAAGTACCTGATCTCATCCAAGAATTAGAGTTTAATACTCCGCATCTGCACAGGTGAAGTGGAAAGGGGTTGAGGTGCTGAAAGAGAAGGGGGAGAGGCTTGGAGAAGGCAAGCTGTTTTACTTGAATTACTGATGCTTGAAAAGAAGGATTCCTCATTTCTGGGAGGATACATCTGCGTAGTTGGGGGAGGACCTGTTAGTTGGAGGTCCAAGAAGCAGACGAAGACGGCACTCTCCTCGGTTGAATCAGAGTATATCGCAATGTTCCATGGGGTAAAGGAGGTGATTTGGCTGAAGAGGCTGTTAGAGGAGATTGGCCAGGAGCAGAAGGTTGCTACACCGCTGTTTTGTGATAGCAAGGGGGCTCTTGGGATGGCCAGGAACACCATGCTTCATGGGCTGAACAAGACATCCGTATCAAGTGGCACTGGCTGCGTAAGGAGGTGAAGAAGGGGACGGTGAATCCAATCTATATCAAGACTCACCAGCAGCCAGCAGACTTCCTCACCAAGAGGCTTGCGGATGAGCCTCATTGGCATTGTGTGTGCATGATTGGAATAAGAATGAACTAGCATGGAATCGTGGAAATGCAGCTGGCAGGCTGAAGGGGGATGTGTTGGATGCAAATCACTTAGCATAACATCCTGCCGTCTGTTTGTACGAGTATGCGTGTGCGAGTGCATTTGCGTATGAGTGGTATTGTGTGTTTGTTTGTTTTGACAGTCTTCGTTTGATGCATTTCCAGGTACTCGCACAATGTGCGATTCGGCAGAACATTGTACACGCTATGAACAGTGCAAGCAGAAAGGATGAGCTCGCAAAGGAACCCAAGATGGAAGCTTTGCGGTTTGGTTAATTTGAATGCGCAGATTCAATAATATCTACCTCAAAATTGTACTGTTTTGTTGATTATATCTGCCTCCAACTTGACTTATTTTAAGCCCTTGGAGCGAGCTTCGATATAACAAGTTGTCAGCTTAATCCGATTGATGGTCTGCACGGCACGCTGCGCGACGATTAAAGTACTCAAGTTATGTTCGCTAAGTCATTTTCAACTCCTCTCTTTACAAACTTGGACCCAAGGATAGGGGCTGGTCTTGTACCAGGCACCCAGGACCTTTGGAGGTGAACCCGCGGAGAGGTTTATAATTTTATTAAGTCTTAATTGCTCGAGTTTATTAGGCCCTTACACCAACAAAATCTTCATTGCTACCCCCTGTATTTTCTCGTGAATCAGTACCGGGCAATTTGTTGCTGTACCCTCCTTATTTAGCCGAGCCCGATTGAGTGCGTGAATCGGCACAATCACTCGGTGAGGGTCAGTAGGGTCGGTCAAGTAGTAAGTTCCGTCAGTAATGGGCCCGTACCTTTCTGACTGATGCGTTTCTTTGCCTTGCAGACTCCCTCTCTTACTCAGCTCCTACAATTGTCCAGCCTATTACGCAAAGCAGCGTCCCTTTAACGGCGCGGCAGCTGCATTCGTTGCGACGGCAAGTACAGGAGTGTTCGGTAAGCGAGATTGAACAATTGAAGCAAAATAGAAGATTGAGCAGAGGGATGAGCGAACATTACATGGCGAACTAGAGTAATAACGGTAAAGGGCGAAATGTGGGGTGCGCGGTGTGCTTGGCATCGAGGTGGAATATTGTTGAGGCAGAGGAATAGAGCGTGGGTTATTAACCGAGCCGCAAGGTTGGGTTACGACGTACTGGCAGGAACAGTAGTTGAAGTGAGTGTCACGGGTGGTAACGGTTTATTATTGGGTAACAGTCATGCACGCGATAAGTAGGGGCGCGAAGTAGGGAAAATGAGTTTTTTTTTTTTTTACATCAGGCAGTCGTTTATGCAATTAAGCTATTTCAGCCTACGAAATTGTCGTAGAACGGATGCACAAAACCGTCCATAACCAGCCTCATATTCCTCCTCGTTATTCATTTTTTGTGCGCTGCTAAAAGAAGTGTGCTTCTAGTTTCTTTTAACCAGCAACTAAGTTTTGTTCATAAACATCCGGACTCTGATGTGTTGACAAGCATCGTTTCATATTTCATCCTGCACACACATCTCTCTTCGTGTTTGTACATCTCTGTCTAAAACATATTGTCAATGTCTCCCTTCCCATTCCTCGGTGGATATTTGCACAGATCACTTGTGACGTGAGGACATTTTTGCAGATCGCATTGGTTTCGCAGATATACGCCGCATGTGTAAGTAGGTACTATGATTCTTTGCATTGCTGGGTTTTTTATTTGTCACTCTCCAATATTCTGACTTCTTTCCACACATTCCTTGCACGGTATTTGTAATTACCTTCCTCCCTACTCCTACTCCATCGACATGTTGTATTCGAAGTCCGTTTTTTCTTTGCCTTCATATCCTGTTCGCAATTCTCCTCCTCCCCGTCCTTGTATACTATTTTAGACGGCGGCTTCATGGTAGCGCTTGTATACGCAGTGCTGGGTACTAAGAGGCACGTCGCGATCGAGCTTGCGATGAGTATCTGCCGCGGATTTGTCAATGAGCTCATGAGCCACATCACCATTGTCAACTTCATGGCGGGTGCTGCCATCACCATCACGCTACAGCAGCTACGCGGGCTCCCGGTGACACGACGATCATGCCGGAGATGAACATCGTCATGCATCAACAGATGTAAGTTAATGTCCTACGAGTTTGTGTGTGTGTGTGTGTGTATGTGTGTGTGTGTATGTGTGTGTGTGTGTGTATGTGTGTGTGTGTGTATATGTATATGTGTGTGTATGTGTGTGTGTGTGTGTATGTGTGTGTGTGTGTGTATGTGTGTGTATGTGTGTGTGTGTGTGTGCGTGCGTGCGTGCGTGCGTGCGTGTGTGCGTGCGTGTGTGCGTGCGTGTGTGCGTGCGTGCGTGTGTGTGTGTGTGTGTGTGCGCGTATCTGTGCGCGCGCGCGCGCGCGCGTGTGTGTGTGTGTGCGTGTTGTTGGTATAAAGGCCTAACAAACTCAAGCTATTAAGACATAATCAAACTTAAAACCTCTCCTCGGGGTCACCTCCAAGGGTCCCTGGGTGCCTGGTACAAGACCAGCCCCTATCCTCGGGTCCGAGTTTGTAGAGAGAGGAGTCAAGAATGACTTAGCCAAAATAACCAGAGTTCCTTGAACGTCGCGCAGCGTGCCGTGCAGACCGTCGATCGGATTAAGCTGATAATTCGCTATATCGAAGCTCTCTCCAAGAGCTTTAAAATAACCCAAGTCACCTCACTAAAAGTTCTGCCATTTCGAAGTTATGGCTCGGACAGCGTTTGCCTAGCGTTAGAGTGCTAGCATACTAGCGTTGACTCGGGTAACAATCCACCATCGAACCGTGTAGAAACAAAATTCCAGCAAGGAAGGAATCCGCTTGAATCAATTGACTATATCCAGGTACAAACAGAGGACTAAATAGTTCTAGCTAGCAAGGACCTTGAGAATCAACCTGGGAACAACCAGGGATGATCCCAAATAATTCCAAGCAACAGAACCAACCTGGCTGGGCAAAATAGCAGATGGTAGGTTGTTAAACAACCTCTGGTTCTGTTTTTCCAACCTGGGAAAACAACAACCAGGTTCAGGTTCTAAAAACAGAACCTGTTTTGTCTTTGCCCAACCAGCCAAATACTGGTTCTGCTGGTTTCCCCTGGCCTTGTAGCATGCAGATATAGACAAACAACATATAAACTTTACCTAAATTGTACCCCTATAGTGCCTGCCCTGCTACACTATAGTCAACAAAACAGTACAATTTCGAGTTGGATAGAACTGAATCTGCGCAATCAACTAAACCGAACTGCAAAGCTTCCATCTTGGGTTCCTTTGCAAGCTCGTCCTTTCTGCTTGCACTGTTCATAGCGCGTACAATGTTGTGCCGAAGCGCACATTGCGCGAGTACCTGCAAATGCTTCAAGCGAAAATTGCGAAAACACACAAACATACGAACACACCATTCACACGCAAACGCATTTGCACAAGCATATTCGTACAAACGAACGGCAGGATCTCATGCAAAGTGAATTTGCACCCAACACACTCCCCCTCAGCCTGCCGGCTGCATTCCCATCATTCCATGCTAGTTCATGCTCATTCCACTCATGCGCACATAACGCCAATGAGGCTCATCCGCAAGCCTCTTGGTGAGAAAGTCTGCTGGCTGCTGATGAGTCTTGATGTAGATCGGATTCACCGTCCCCCTCTTCACCTCCTTACGCAGCCAGTGCCACTTGATACGCATGTGCTTGTTCAGCCCATGAAGCACAGCGTTCCTGGCCATCCCAAGAGCCCCCTTGCTGTCACAAAACAGCCTCCTCAGCCAAATCACCTCTTTCACCCCATGGAACATCGCCATGTACTCTGATTCTACAGAAGAGAGTGCCGTTTCTGTCTGCTTCTTGGACCTCCAACTAACAGGTCCTCCCCCAACTACGCAGATGTATCTTCCCACAGATGAGGAATCCTCCTTCTCAGAAGCCCAAGTAGCATCGGTAAAGCAAGTGAGAAAGAGCTTGCCTTCTCCAAGCCGCTCCCCCTTCTCTTTCAGCACCTCAACCCCTTTCTGCTTCACCTGTGCAGATGCGGAGTATTGAACTCCAATGCTTGGGTGAGAGTTCAAATACTTCACCATATGCTCAGCTGCATCTACCTGCTCCTCTGATGGATTCTGCACCACCCTGGCCAGCTGCCCAACCGAGAAAGAGATGTCAGGCCTCGTGTGAACAGCTGCATACAAGAGGCTGCCCACCAAGGACTGAAATTGTTGCTGCTCCTCGGCTTCAACCCCTTCATCCTCTGCAGCCTTCACAAGCTTGAATTCTGCTGGCAGGGGAGTTGCAACCTTGCGCTCATTCTCAATCCCATACTTTTCCCCCAGCTCCTTGATGAACTTCTCCTGGTCACCACCTGTGATCCAGATCCCTCTCCACGTGCATCCCGAGGTAGTACTTTACCTCCCCAAGGTTCTTGCACTTAAAGTTCTCCATCAGCTGCTGCTGCACTTTCTGGATCTCCTTCATGCTGCTGCTAAAGAGAAGAATGTCATCCACGTAGACCAGAAACAGCACCAGCTTCTCCCCCTCCCCCTTGAGAAAGAGGCTCTCATCACAGCTGCTGGTCCTGAACCCTATCTCCTCTAAAACAGCTGCCAACCTCTGGTACCAGCAGCGTGGCGCCTGCTTCAAGCCGTAGATTGACTTTTTCAGCTTGCACACCCTGCCCGTACCATCCTCATACCCAGGCAGCTGCGTCATGTACACATCCTCCTCTAAAATCTCATTGATGAATGCCGTTGATAGATCCATCTGAATGATGAATTTCCCACTAACGGCTGCATCTGCCAACAAGACACGGAGGGTAGGGGGTTCGGCAGCGGGAGCAAAGATCTCGTTGAAGTCCTGCTTCTCCTTCTGCATAAACCCCTTCCTCTTTCAGACCCAGCAGCTTCATCAGTGCTATCACTAGCCTCTTCTCCACCAGCAGGTGCCTCCTGTACCTTCTCTCCATCACCATTCCCCGCAGCTGCCTCCTCTCCCTCCTCCCACACATTAGGAGTCAGGTCCAGCTGCATGGTGATCTGCTCCATCTTCTGGGACACACTTGCCTCTGGTTGTTTCTCCCAGCTCCCATACGTCATGCCCTCAATAAATTTCGCATCCGTGCTGTCAAACAACACACCCTTGGATGGTTCCCACAACAGCCATCCTTTACTCTCAGCAGCCAGCCCCAAATGCACACACCAGATTGCACTCGCCCCCAACTTACTGCGGTAGGTCTTGGGGACGTGGGCGACTACCATGCAGCGTAAAACCCTCAGCATGTCCACCGGCGGCTTCCTCCCAAGCCACCTCTCCAACGGCACCCACGAGTCATCACCAACCTTGGTGAGCACCCTGTTCCTAGCGACGGTAGCGTGCCGAACAGCATGGGGTCACATGGAGTAGCGAAGCCCAGATTCTATGAGCAGCGCCCTAGCTGTCTCTAGAATGGTCCGGTTCGCCCGTTCTGCTACACCGTTGGACTGTGGGGTGTAAGCCGTGGTCAGCTCCCTCTGGATGCCCTGCTTCTTGAGCCAGGCCGTCATTTCAGCTCCAAGGAACTCACCACCCCGGTCTGTCCTAATCCGCTTCACTACACATTCCACCAGGTTCTCCACAAATGGCAGCCAATCATCCCGTATCGTGGAGGCGGCGTGGTCCTTTTGCTTCAGCGGATACGCCCACATGAGTCTGCTCCAATCATCCACAATCGTAAGGAAGTACCGCTCCCCCTTGTGCCCTTGCACCGGCAGCGGCCCCACCAAGTCCATGTGGACCAGCTCCAAAGGCTTCTTGCTCCTGCCAGCGACACTATGGAAGGGGAAACGGGTAAACTTTGAGAGCAAACAGATTTCACAGTTATCATCGGGTGGCTTTCCGATCAGCTTCAGACCCTTAACGGCTCCATCTTTCTCTAGCTGCTTCAGCAAAGGCATTGCCATGTGCCCCAAGCGTCGATGTGCCGTTGCCCAATCTGTCTCCCCAGATCTGGCCGACACTTTTACACCAACGGCGTTGCACTGTTGGTGTAAGGGCCTAATAAACTCAAGCTATTAGGACTTAATCAAACTTAAAACCTCTCCTCGGGGTCACCTCCAAGGGTCCCTGGGTGCCTGGTACAAGACCAGCCCCTATCCTCGGGTCCGAGTTTGTAGAGAGAGGGATCAAGAGAGACTTAGTCAAAACAGCAAGAGTACCTTGAACGTAGCGCAGCGTGCCGTGCAGACCGTCGATCGGATTAAGCTGAGAATTCTCTATATCGAAGCTCGCTCCAAGAGCTTTAAAATAAGCCAAGTTGCCTCGCGAAAAGTTCTGCCATTACGAAGTTATGGCTCGGACAGCGTTTGCCTAGCGTTGGAGTGCTAGCGTACTAGCGTTGACTCGGGTAGCATTCCGCCGTCGAACCGTGTAGAAACGAAATTCCAGCGAGGAAGGAATTCGCATGAATCAATTGACTATATCCAGGTACAAACAGAGAAGGAATAAATAGCTATAGCTAGCAAGGGCCTTGGGAATCAACCTGGGAACAACCAGGGATGATCCCAAATAATTCCAAGCAACAGAACCAACCTGGATGGACAAAACAGCAGGTGGTAGGTTGGAAAACAAACTCTTGTTCTGTTTTTCCAACCTGGGAAAACAACAACCAGGTTCAGGTTCTAAAAACAGAACCTGTTTTGTCTTTGCCCAACCAGCCAAATGCTGGTTCTGCTGGTTTCCCTTGGCCTTGTAGCATGCAGATACAGACAAACAACATCCAATCTTCACCTAAATTGTACCCCTATAGTGCCTGCCCTGCTACACTATAGTCAACCAAATAAAACAGTACAATTTCAAGTTGGATAGAACTGAATCTGCACAATCAATTCAACCGGGCTGCAAAGCTTCCATCTTGGGTTCCTTTGCGAGCTCTTCCTTTCTGCTTGCACTGTTCATAGCGGGTACAATGTTGTGCCGAAGCGCACATTGCGCGAGTACCTGCAAATGCTTCAAGCGAAAATTGCGAAAGCAAACAAACACACAAACACACCATTCGCACGCAAATGCATTCGCACACGCATACTCGTACAAAAAGACGGCAGGATGTCGTGCAAAGTGAATTTGCACCCAACATGCACTCCCCTTGGGATGCAGACCCCTCTCCAGCCTGCCCCCCACCATGCCACGCCAACGCCGGCAGCTGCCACATAGATCTGTACACGTCCTTGCTCTCGTGCAGATCCCAAAGCACCCGATTGCCCAGCTGCCCCTTGTAAGTGCGAGCCCTGTCCGTGGTGTCTATCTGGTCCACATGTCATGTTTGAGTAACGTACTTACACTTGGTACCAACAATATGGGGTAATTAACGCACTTACTCTTGGTACCAACCATAAGGGTAATTAACGTACTTACTTTAGGTACCAAATACATACATGAGTAACATACTT